ACGAGTACTATTTTAAATATACTTCAAACGCGCAGCAGGAACATTTACAATTTCACTCTGGCGTCAAAGTTTTCGCGGAAAGTATCTTGCATTTTTTTATTTTCCATTACAAACACTCAGATGATAGTCTCTCTAACGGTTATTCAGAAATATATTCAAGCTTCAAGTTTTTACTCATCCGATTTCAGTTTTGGTGTTTTTCTGAGATGGAAAAATCAAAAATTTTTATGAAACATATCACTAAGTTGTCACATTCTTGAAAAGAAATTTACAACTATTTTGGATACATTTTTGAGACCAAATGTCAAAATGACGTATTGTTCCGTATTTCAGACAAAATCAATCATATAAAACGATGCAAAATTAAGCAGTGAATTGAATTATCTGCAACGTTTAAATCAACTTAAGTATTTTAATTGAATTTTGATTTTTCCATCTCAGAAAAACACCAAAACTGAAATCGGATGAGTAGAAACTTGAAGCTTGAATATCAACTCAATTTTAAATTCAATTGCTTTTTAATAGCAAAAAATTTTCCAGAGTTGCTGTTACTTAAACTTTAGTGACCCGAACATTTTTAGTTACTTACACAGCAACCAGGTTTCTTTGTTAAAATTGGAATTTGTAAGAGTAGGAGTTTTGTAAAATTTAGAAAATTGAATCGAATTGTTTCAGTTTTTAACGTTTTCTCCGTAAACATTTCAAAAAGTAGAGCTGTTTTTGTTGTATTTTAAAACATTCAAGTCAAACTATTTATTGGAACTCAACTCGAAATTTAATGATTCTTAGCCGTAGAAATGTTTTAAAGTTTTTTGTTATTGGTCTTATTTTGATTATTATGTAAATTTACGATTATCATATTTTTGACAATTAAGTTTAAGGTTATTCAAATTCTTATTACAATTATGATTATGATCGTTATTAATTTTATGAGAGCATATTTTCAGGATTGAGAAGTTTGAGATCAAAGACTTTGCCTAAAATTTCCAGAAACTGAAAACATATTGTGCACATAATATAAGAGTTCATATCCTCAGCATATTCTAATCGACGCTGAGTTCTACTTAAAAATGAAAAGAACCCGAAAATTACCTTTTTGCTGGTTGTACTTTGAAAAAACTGGTCCCATTCCTGAGCGGTGCGTAATCATACCTCCCAGAAACCGCTGCAGACGAGTTGGCCATTTTGGTTTTTTTAGTTGTGACCTGAAAAGTTTGTCAAACATGTCGATTATTGAAAATCATCAAAAGATGAAGCTCAACAGATACAGATTTAAAAAATTTTTGAAACAAGTACTTTTTAATTCAAAATATGCTTTAAACGCGCAGTAGGAACATTCACATTTTCACTCTGTTGTCAAAATTTTTACGAAATTTATCCTGCAGTTTTTCATTTTCGTCCATTCCAAACCCTTAGATACTATCCTTTCTAATGGTTTTTCAGATATTTTCTCAAGCTTCAAATTTCTACTCATCGGATTTCAGTTTGTGCGTTTTTGTAAGTAGGGAATGTTAAAACTATTCTGAAAAATATCACTAAGTTGTTACCTTCTTGAAAGAAATTTTTTATAACTATTTTAGTTATCTTTTCAGACCAAATGACAAATTGACGTAATATCCATATTTCAGAGTATGTGTGAAATAGGGATATTTCCTTTTTACTTCTTGTAATTTCAAAAAGCTGTTTCGTCAGATTCCTAAGGGGTGTGTCATCATAGCTCCCAGAAACCGCTGCTGACGAGTTGGACTTTTTCGTTTTTAGTTGTGACCTAAAAATTTGTCAAACATGTCGTTTAATAAAAAAATCATCAAGAGATGAAACTCAACAGATCAAAAATGTAGAGAATGAAATTATTCGAGCTACATCTTCCCAACTTGATTCTCCATCTACTGATAACTCTTTTGAAGTTCGGTTGTTGCATGTCAAGTTCTTTTGATAATGAATTTATGAATAATGTTCCAAGCACCCATAGGGATTAGAGAAACAAAGGAGTAGTGCGAGAAAGGAACAAATGCATTTTTTTCTTCTCAGTTTTGACTCAAAATCTCGAAAAAGGCTCAGAGTGCCCTTTTTGTTGCAATTCGGATTTCAAAAAATGTGACTCATTGTCAAAAAATGTCGTTTTTCAGATTGGACAAAAACGGACAAGGTTAGAAGCTCACCCAGATTTTCTTTCTGGAAAATCTTGCCAAGGTCATGTTAATCATGGATTATTCATAGAACACGGCTATCTTGCAAAGAACGTGCAATACATAACCATGTTAGTTTCTAAGACCGTAGACCTTAAGAAGATATCTTTGTCAGATATTTGCTCGGGAAAATGTGTGTCAAATTTTGGAATCCCAAATCTTGCCAAATTATTCATTGTATGGATCATCGACTTCTTGTAAAGGTCATAACATATCATGTCAAGATCTTGTCAAGATTCTCATTATATTATGGAAATGAATAAAAAAGGATGCCCGAAAGCTATATTTTATTTAAATACGCCTTTTGTTTAAGTTTTTTAGTAATTGTTTTAGCTGCGCTCTTGAGTTGGTCGATGTTTGTAATGTTATCTGATGTTTTTTGGTCGTTTTCAGGCCTTTAGTGTATGTTGTCCTAACTAAATCTTCTCCTTGTTTGCAGAGCTGAATACTATCATTTGTAGCTACAGTGCTGATTTAAATTAACCGGACAAAACGCGTTAAACTTGAAATTTAAAACGCATTTTTCTCAAATTGAGTTAAGATTAAACAAAAAGTGAAGAGAACAAAAGGTGTTTAGAATTTCACCAGAATTAATATGGTGCCATTTTTTCTCCGAAATTCTCAACAAAAAATTTACCCCAAAAATGGGTCATTTTGGCTTTTTTCAACTAACCAAGAGTTACGCTGAAACTATTTTGTTAATTGATAAGAAAATTATATCACAGGAAGCCCTTTACGCAGCTCAACAAAGTTTAAGAAGGGTTAAATCTCCAAAAACCAGTAAAAGAGAAAAAAATTTCACTTGATAGTCAATAAATGTGATTTTTACTACATAAAACCCAGAATCTGTTTAAAAATAAATTTTAAACAATTTGCGCCCATTTTTGAAGATTTAACCCTTCTTAAACTTTGTTGAGCTGCGTAAGGGGCTTCCTGTGATATAATTTTCTTATCAATTAACAAAATAGTTTCAGCGTAACTCTTGATTAATTGAAAAAAGCCAAAATGACCCATTTTTGGGATAAATTTTTTGTTGAGAATTTCGGGGGAAAAATGGCACCATATTAATTCTGGTGAAATTCTAAGCAACTTTTGTTCTCTTTACTTTTTGTCTAATCTTAACCCAATTTGAGAAAAACCCGTTTGAAAATTCAAGTTTTGTTCGTTTTGTCCGGATAATTTAAATCAGCACTGTACTCCAACAGTCAGTTTTGCTGGCAATTTCTGTAGCAGTTCCGTTTTCGCAAAATTTTCAACATCTTGAAAAATCTTGCTAAGATCAAATTAAGGTTTCCAAGTGTAACATGGCTATCTTGTAAAGATCTTGTATGGGTCTTGGATGTTTTGCATGAAAGAGATCTTTAAAGTAATTATTATTTTAACTATCAAAACTATTATTCATTGTGCAGTTTTTGGCCTGATTCAATAGCCTTTGCTGAAAAACATAAAAAGCAGAAGTTTCGGATAAAACGCCAAAAAAGATGAAAAAACGTTTTTTTCTTTTGATTTTCAAAATTTTCTGTTGCATTTTCCTTTGATATTTACAGAGCAATCGAATTTGTTTACAAAAAATAAGATAAAAAATAGAAACCATCTGAAACTTCTTCAAACCGGGTTACCATATCATCGTATTCACTTAACTGTTTCGATTGGCAGAGCAGCTTCATATATTTTTCTACAATAGCTTATTTTTGATCAGTGGTCAGTCCGGGCGGTCATTGAGTAGACGGAGCTATTAGCTCCCTTACACGCAGCTTAATTGATTTCATGCGCTCGATCGCACCACACGCCGCAACCATGTTTTAACATGCGAGCCACTCAATTTGACAATGTCAGTAAATTTTTGAACAGTCTTCATCTCTATTTATTCGCGCTTTTCACGCGTTATTTAATTAGAATTGATTGGTTAATTCAACCTGAAAATCATAAACAGACATGTGTCTATTGTAATATGTGGTTAGATCGACGCAGCTGGTAATAGTTATGAATTAATATTAGCCAACAATAAAATAATTGAATGAAAGTATGAGAGTGATATTAAATGTTGGTTGACAATAAACAATTTTTATGCTTTCGATCACATGATGTTAATTCAAGTGAAAAAAATCGTCTCCAAAAAAATTGAACAAAAATGATTTTTTGATTTTAAAAAAATAGTTTACTTTTTAACGTCCTAGAGAAAATTATACAGTTCTGAGAGTTAGTCATATAAAGTTTCCGGGATATAAATACAGATTTTGAATTTTTGTTGCTGTATTTTGAGTTTTTGTTTTCTTAATGGTTTTCTGTTGTCAACCTAAAGATTTATTTAACAGATAAAACTATTACAGAGACAAGGTCGGAACAATCTGAGCAAGAAGCAATGAAATGCATGTTTTCCTATTGCTGAACTAAAACCGGTAAAATTTACGGTTCAGGGTGTTTAACTATGCTGATTAAAAAAGGGTAGTTGTCATTGAAAAATAAACTCTGAACAAACCTTAATACAATATATATGCACACTATTTGCAGCACACTTCAAATTAGTCATCAATGTATTTGCCATTATTAGTGGCGTGCACATGAATTTTTTAAAGGGACAGGCGGTGTTTCAACACTTTTTGGAAAATTTGATAAATATAGTTTATAGATCGAACAAATTGACTTTGAAGGGCACTTTTTAAACAAAAAAATCTTGCGTCTAAAACTTTGTCTAAATTTGAGCCCTCGAAAAAGACTAATGTTTAGTGTTGATAGACCAAAATAGATGCCGAATGCCGAATAACAAAAGGGACTTTTGAAAAAATTAGCCTACCAGAAAGGGGGGGGGGGGGTGGTTCATTGGGCGTAGGGGAGGGGGCGCTTTTTCAAAAAATTTTCGAAATTTTGTCGACCTTTTTATATTTCGACCAAATTGGTTTTCCGAGTTCTGCAAAGCACTAAAAAGTCCTTATTTTGGCAAAATTTTGAAAAAAAACAGGCCAAAAAAGCGTTTTTAGGCACTTTTTGGAAATGGTTACCAAAAAGTCGCGATTGTCGGCGCGCGCTCACCCCTCAAAGTTAGTATAGATTGGCGCCAAAGGCGCCTTTAGAAAAATTTTAGGGTCCATCAGCCAAAATTGGTTATCTCAAAATAGTTCAAAAGGGGGACTCTTTGGGTCGGCAAGGGGTCGAATCTCTGAGGGAAAGGAAACGTCCGCCCCCCCCCCCCCCACCCCTTAATCCGCCCCTGACTCTGGGCGTTAATCTGTGCGTGTTAAATCAGATTTTTCTAATACTTTTTTAAATTATTTTTGTTCACTCTGGTCGTTTTTCGGCACATTTTTGAGACATAAACGTTTGTGTATGCAAAAAGAACAATTTAAACTCAGATTTTGCCCCTTGTGAACTAAGTTGGGCTCTCTTGTACAATCTTGTAAGTTTTTTGGAGAAATTATTTAACTAAGAACTTCTATATGCGATTCGATTTGCTACCTTGCAAGAATTTTTAATGTATATGGATGACTGAATACCATTTTCTATAAGGATCTTCAAATAATACACTCAATTGTATTTTGTGTAATTCGCAGAGGATGTATGAAAGGCTGTCCAGCCTGTCCATGGATAATAAGTGCCTATTAGGGTTCCCAAAGTCAGTTCACATTAGTTGAGCAAGACCACCCAGAGAGAAGAGAACACCAGACCCACTGCTGCCCCCACTCCCATTTTCCTGTACAGCACCCCTTCTGCCTCCGAAACCATTGGGGACAGCACTCTGTGACAAAGAGGATGATTTTACTAGTCAAACAAGTTATTGCCTATACGAAACAAATACAGAACTGAATCAAAACTTTTATGATTATGAAATTTGTAGGTGATTAGTAAGATAATTGATGATAGGATAACTACTTACCGGGCCGACGATAACCTTCGCAGTCTCCATTTTTTCCAATTGAACTTAGCTAGCTGTTAGTTTGATGTTTTTAAGGTAAAATCCGTTCATTTTGGTTTTCGTATTTCCAGTCCAAAAAAGTGGAGTGACGGTATTAAACGATGATCAATAAAACGATAGGTAGAAAACAAAAAGATTTGTCTGTTGTTGCTTAATCCAGTGCAACTCAAGGAAATGATAGTTAAAAATATGTATATAAATACTTGCCTGTTGTTACATAGTCCAGTGGTGCAACAGGTGACGCATATGTGGTGTCCCGGGTGGTAGGGGTCATCGGTGCAGAAGTCCTCGTTCGGATTCTTGCAGGGATTCGCGTGACACTCTCTCCTGTATGTAATGTTCTCCCAGCTCCTGCAATATATACCCATGGAGAATATTTTTTCTGAAAAATAGCTTCTAACTTATTGTCAAAGGTTTTACGAAAATGAAGTTCTAGCTCACCAACCGCAGAAAAATTTTAGGGTAAGGAGCGGATCTAGGATTTTCTCGAGGTGGGAGTGGATTTTGAAAAAATCGCAATTTTTGTCAACATTTTTTAGTTCGACCTAAAGGATTTTCTGAGTTTCTGAAAATTTTGAAAAAACCGGCCAAAAAGGCAGTTTTAGGTACGTTTTGGAAAATGTTGACCAAAAAATAGGCTCCCCCCCTCTCTCAAAAAGTGTATTTAGAAACATTTTAGGGTCAGTCAGCCAGAAAATGTCTAACTCAAAATAGTACAAGGGGGCGCTTTGGATCTGCAGGAGGTCAAATCCCTGAGAAAAGGGCATCCGCCCCCGCCTCCCCTACATCCGCTGGTGTTTAGGGTAGAAGACTTAAGACCTCGTTTCTCATAAACATACAAATAAAATGAATTCCAACAAAATCTCAAGCCTCATAACAAATTTAGCATCAACTTATTTACAAACAAATAGGTTCCAAGGAAGCTAGCAACTCTACCTAGGATCAGCCACAGACTATTACCCTCACTGCGCTGACCCTAACGTCTGGATTTTACAAACAATTTCTTTTTTTTCCGAAGAAAAACCAAATAAAATGACGAATGAAAAGTTAAACTAATTTACTTTTTTAAACATTAAATTCGATTTTTTTGCACTGTTTCATCTCCCCTAGTACCATCTCTGGTAGCAGTATTCGGTTTTTAGCTTGACCTTAAACGTTTTGAAATTAGCTAACTGCAGGCCCTGTAACCGGTTTATAAAAAAATTTTTGAAAATTTTCACCTTATGGTTGCGACTTCTACTAACTGTGATATGTGCCTAGTGTCTCCGTAACACCTGCAGAACAAGATGGAGACTTTTGTACAGAGGACAACCAACTAGGCACATGCGGAAGTAACCAGTGATCAAGTTCAAGAAGGGTTTGAGTTTACTTAACGCAAACTGAAACCCACAACCAAGAAATTTTTATTGATAGTTTTAAAGCAAGCTCCGCAATAATGCTTATTCCGGGCAAAAATGTTTTTTTTTCATCAAAACAGTGCTGAATGAAAATTGATAACTGATTTTAGTATAACTGAAAACTTTGTATTTTTAGTATCAAATTGTTCAACTGTGAGATAAATTTGGACCTCGAAAGCCGACTAATTCAGTAACAAAAAAATTATGCCGACTAAAAATTTTGACAGTCCCTCCGAATTTTTTCTAGCGAAGAAGCTCTCACATAGTATGGAATTTTCAGCACGAGCTCATAAGCTACGTGGTTTATGTTATTTCATCTGATTACAATATTATGTATTATGTTCTTGATTTATTTTTATATGGCACTCGATCTTGATTAGGAGTTTTTCGTACTACCTACTAGATTGAGGTTTGCTTCACATCGTTTAACAGTTTAAGAGGCTTTAATTGCACAATAGTAACATTTCTAATACGAAAAGGTGCACCTTCGCGGCTAAAATTCTGGGGCTCAGAAACCAAATTTTGGTCAGGAGAGTCAAAACATACGTCATGCACTTCGATCCAGATAAAGTTATAAGAGGTGATTTTAATTGTGCTCACAGATGGTCGAAGTTCCAGTACCAGTTGGCTGTGGTCCAGCAGAACTCCCCCTCCTTGCAGGTGTCGAAGTAGTTGCTCTCCTGGCTCTGTCTCACCTGGCAGGGGAGAGTGTCATTGCAGGTGTAGCAGTTGAGTTGTTGCAGAGCAGACCTGCAGGTACCATCGTCTGCCTGCACGTAGCCAGCTTGACATCTGAAATAAAGAGGGGATGTTTTAAAAAATTACACCGGTTATGATAGTTCTACTTCGATTTCAAATGTATGTTTACATATTGACTAAAAACTTGATAACAAATTAAAATAATAAAATATTAACTACGATTGCCATAACTTATCGACAACAACAAGTATTTATGAACGAAAAAAGAATGACTTTCATGAAAATGTAGGACTAGAGTATAATTTAGTTTCCGTATAACATCATGATCAAACCTGCACACGTTGGCGTCCTCCTCGCCCAAGTCCAGTTTAGCCACTGTGCATGTCTTCTGGGTGGCTCTGGGGTCGCAGGCGGACTCCATGTTCTTGTCACATGACTCATAACACCACTTCTCCCGGATTGAGGGGTCCTTCAAAAGAATAAAAAGAATGGAAAATATGAGATGGTATCCGTGATCGCATTGATCGACCCAAACTTTCAAGATTTCGGACAAATAAATTGGTGGAAAATAACTAATGTAAAAGGTCAATTAAAATGAAACAGCTGTGTGATTGGAACAATCATTTTTAATTGCGTCCGAAGCCAGATAATTGACAAAAAATTATCTGCAAAACCATTTTTCAAACAATGCTTGCGCGAAGCAAAACTGGAACTTTTTATTGTTTGAGTAGAAAGCAAACAAGAAAGCGAAGCCTTGAATGTTCCGACTGCCTTTTAAGGTTTATGGAGCAGCAGTAATAACATAAAAAATTAAATGAAATAAAAAAAATGAAATTTTTTTTTTCTAAAATTTGAAATTTTTAATGAAAATCATCCGCCCACACGCCATATAAAGTACAAAAAGATAGATTTCGTTCCTTGTAACAAATCAATTATGGCAAATTAGCTTCGTTCAACCAATTTGGAACGATTTATAAGACGGATTGAATCTCCGCTTATGCGTTAATAGCGCGAATTAAATCGCGCGTTAATTGTCCCAAATTGGTCAAAATGGCCAAAATGGCAATCTTTAAACCCTCTTAACTTTAGGAAAAAAAGATCACAGGGGAAATATTTTTTCAAATTTAAGCTCAGGACAACAATGGCTTTCAAATGATATAAAAAAATTCCGTCAAAAATGGCTAGTTAAAAAGTCGAAATTTGTCTGAAGAAAAAAAAACCCACCCGAGCACAAATATTCCGTTACTTTCGAATCGAAAGTCAGAACAACAAGAGCAGGAAAATGCCAGTTATTGTTCCGACTTTCGATACGAAAGTAACGGAATATTTGTGCTCGGGTGGGTTTTTGTCTAATTTCGACTTTTTAACTACAAATTTCGACTTTTTAACAGGCCATTTCTGACGGAATTGTTTTATATCATTCAAAAGTTATTGTTGTCCTAAGCTTAAATTTGAAAAGATATTTCATTTGTGATCATTTTTTAAAAAAATTATGGGGGTTTACAGATTGCCACTTTGGTCAATTTGGGACAATAGTTGACGCGCGATATATTTGGCGCTATTAACGCGTAAGCGGAGATTTAATCGTTCCAAATTGGTTGAAAGAAGCTTTTTTTGCCATAATTGATTTGTTACAAGGAGCAATATCTATCCTTTTGTACTTTATATGGCGTGTGGGGATGATTTTCATAAAAACTTTCAATTTTTATTTTAGAAAAAAAAATAATTTTATTTTATTACAAGCCGTCGGAACATTCAGGGCTTCGCCCTGATATGAGCAGTCTTGTTAGTTAGAGTTTTGAAAACAACTGAAATTTTGCGTTTGAATGTTTAACAATCAAGACACATTTCTTTTGTATAACTTTTTTCCGAAGGATTTAGTAGTTTGAAAGATGATAACATCCTGAGCAAAAATCAAAGTATATCTCACAAGGAACAATTATTGTAACTTTTTTAAGGGTTTAAAAGTTTAGAATCTCGACATTTGGGACAACCATTTTGCACCAACTTTCTAGTATACACATAGAGTCTCAAATAAACTGTTATCTTATAAAAACTTGTCATTTCATAACTGTCGATCCGTTTGACTTCAAATTTGGAGAAAAAATGCTAAATTAAAATAATAAATGTATTGGTTAGATCAACGTGATAAAAAGTAACCAAAATTTCCTAGTCGATCAAGGGAGGTTATCTTGCAAGATCTTGCCAGATAACCTCCTTTAAAGATAATTTTTTTTTGCAAGGTCTTTAAAGATACAATTTTTTGGGCAAAAACATCTTTACACGCGAAGACAACCAAGTAGCGTTCGTGGAAGAAGGAAGCAATCTTAGCTACGCATACATACACACAGCCCATTAGGCGGTTGCCCCCAGAAAGCTTTATTTTTTTTTTACTTTTTCGTTAAAACATTTCACATTTCGTTAAAACATTTGATCATAAATGCATGAAAACAACGAAATAGTTTTCCCATTGGAAAAAGAAAAACGAATTATTTAATTATTCGCAGTTTATCAAAGCCCAACTGAAGTCCGGGGCATGTTCTAAGTTGGTTAACCAAATTTAACGACAGAAATATATGTCGGCTAAGACCTATACCAGGGTTACTCAAAGTCGGGATCTTAATCCCCTCAAAATTTCCGGTTGCGAACTCACTCGGGGAAAACTGTACATCGCGCTAACTAACGAAGTATTCAAGAAAATCTAGAAAAAAAAAGATTAATAGTCTTTTTGGTCTAGAAGCTAAATGGTTCAAGTTTTTAGAATAAAGTTCAAAGAAATTGTTCAAACTGTTTCAATTCGCTTGAAAGTTAAAAATTTTATTTGTGCCATCCTAATTGGGTACTACAAAGTAAGAGAACAAAAGATTTTAAACGCACTCAAAGTCAAGTTCTGCTGCAAAAAATTCTATCTTAAAGACATAACTATTTGAAATGAGGCAAATAAAAAGAACCCAATCACAAAACTTTGAAGAAAAATTAGTCAAAATTTTCAAAAATTTATTTTTTGGTATTCTCAATTCTCAAAAACTGAAGTGTTTTTTGAGGTACATCTTTTAGCGTGGCAAAAAGAAAATCCGACAAACTAAGACAAATTCAATGACAAAAAACAATGAATAAAAAGTCAGCAGTCAATTAAAAACTATCCGAGACAGTCATGACTATAACAAATGTGTTCACGATCATATGGATTCGACCCTCGCTTCGCTATCGTTCCAGTTTTCGTTGCTACAGTTTGTAAACCTTTTGTTAAAATGATGCAGTAGTAGTATGCATATAGTGCGTTAGGATCGGGGGGGGGGGTTGTCATACATGGATGACCATTAGGTATAAATCATAATGGTCACCATGTATTAAATGATCAGCAATGGTCACCATGTAATAATACTAACTGTCACCATGTATAATTTTATGCCTAATGGTCACTACGTAATAATCTTAATTGTCACCATGTATAATTTTATACCTAATAGTCCTCATGTAAAACTTCGGTATATTATTGAGTATTCCCACTGAACGTTGTGGAAACGGGAATGGAATTATGTTTTGGTCGGTGCATGTTTTCCCTTCTAAAGTTGGGGGTATTGGTTTGTTTACATGTAAAATGACGTTATATACCTATTATATGCGACCAAACTATATGGTATATAGGAAAGCACAAGAATTTGGCAGCGTAGCTTGACTGTTGGCTGCAGTGAACGATTTCCTTCAAAAATGCATGTTTTATTACTGAATCTTTGTCAAGTGCGGCGGCCGCCACCTCTATTTAGGCTAAAATCAATTTGACCGAAATAAAAATGAAAAATTTCGTTCAGCCAATTGAAGGTAAAAACAAAGAAAAATTACGAAACACTGAAAACTCTAAAATAATGAAATTGGCTTGAAAATTTCGACATTTCCATTTTCCGTGTCTACAGGAGACTGAAAAAACTTCTAAAATCTGTGACAAAAGCTTTGATTTAATAGAAAGGTTGAAAGAGCTAATAAGTTGAAGTGGGTTAAGATCTTGAAAAACGAGAACACTGATGAAAACCAAAATGGCCGATTAATTTTGCTGCAGCCATTTCTAAGACTTGCATATACCACTTTTTATAGTAAAAAGGAAACAATTTTCGGGGCTTCTAGAAAACGTTTAGTATTTCCTATTAAATTTTTTGTGCTAACAGAAATTTTGAAAATTTTCATCAAAGGGGACCTAGAAACTGGGGGAAAACTGTTATTTGTGTGCCAATATATACGACAAAACAGAGTAATCATCAAATAAAGCAGGTGAAAACTTATTTGCGACTTTTAAGGAAAGCAGTTATTCAAATTAGAGCAAATTCAATCGGGAAAGACTGAACATAAACTAAGACAAGTTATGGATACAAACTCAAAACTTGATATGAACTCGGAGTTATAATTTGAGCATCCAAAACTTTTGATTTTTCCATTAAAAGAATATGCAATTAAATAATTTCTAATTTGATACTACAATCTAGTCAACTGTTCTCAGTATCTTCTAATTAACTCAATTTGGCTTTAGCAAGAGCTTTCTATTCAAAATTTTGAAGCGCTATCAGTTATTATCATTGATTAACCCTCTGTTCAACAAATTAAATTTTGAGTTTTTAAATATAAATCTGATCTTTTGAATGTTTCCTTGATTACGCTATTGTCTCTCAAAATACGGTGGCTTTTTGACCAAAATATTTGATTATACATCTGCAACTAATTGTGTTATCAATAGTTCAACCTTTCTTTCAATATATGTTTGAGGTGATCACTACTAGCAGTATCAAAACAGTTCGCATCATAAAATTTCTTCTCATTTTTGCATCGATATTTGTCTTCTCTATTAACAAAACATGTCTTCAAAAAACGGTTAGTTGTTTGAAATTTTAAGATAAAAAATCAAGCCTTATCATCAACACTCTACCTGAATCTTCGGATTCCGTCAGGATGATAGCTGTTTCACACTAAACAACGCTTTCACACCAATTTGGCTACAGCAGTTTCCAAAAACTTGTAAGTGCCATTTTCTAGTTTCAATGCATTTCGATAAACGTCAATTATGTTGTGTTATCTTAAGCTAGAACGACTAACAAAGACATGTTTAATTTGACAATAAAAAATTTGTTAGACAGTTTTACTTTGAGGAATTAAAATTTTGAGCCTCAATGCAGAAAGACTTGCTATTCATTTCAAAGAAAAAAGGCGTAAGCATTTTGAGCTATTTCATAAAAAGCTCTATCGACTAAATAAATCTTGAATTTAAAAAAAGTGGTACTGACTGTTTATCTGATTACACAATTGCTTCACTTCTGTGGGTTTATAACTTTGATTCAAAATTATGATTTTTCAAATGAAAACCATTGAAAATTTGTGGTTTTTAGAGATTGATCAATCATCCTTCAAATATACAGTACCTGTCACTGAGACTTTGCTCGCTTACCGTCTTCAGCTCTACCAGCCGCAAGTCTGCACGATCAATGATTT